GGGCCCCCCCCCCCCCTACATCAAATGTGCCAACTCCACCATCCCCTTTTACAAAAGAAAAATTTTAAACACAAATTTTTAAAATTTTTATCATTCAAAAACCTTCCCTGGGGTCACGTGAAGTCCCACACAAAATCGGACCCAATCGGTTCAGCCGTTTTGACGCTTATTGGATACAACCAAACAAACGCACAAGCTAAATTTATATATAGATGGTCTTCCTAATTTGATTTTCACGAGAAAACAAAAGGTCAAATGTTTTATTTGACTATTTTACTATCCGTTTAATCAGATTTTTGTTTGTTCAGGAAGAAAGCAAAACTGCGCATCGAATATTTAAAACAATTGGAAGAAGAAAAAACCGCCGGCGGAACTGAACACAGGCGGACACCGGAGGAAACTACGAAACCATCAATTCAAAAGTTTCTGGTTGAAAACCAGGAATCTAGGTAATAGTTAAACAATAGTTAAACGGCTGGACCGAATGGGCTGAAATAAAAAAAAAATTCCAGGGCAACTCCGGGCCTTTAGCTAGTAATTGATATTTACTGATGATGTTATTTAAAATATAAATTTCAGATTCAGAAGATTTTGAAANATGGAAGAAGAAAAAACCGCCGGCGGAACTGAACACAGGCGGACACCGGAGGAAACTACGAAACCATCAATTCAAAAGTTTCTAGAACCCTTAACCTTAAAAATTAATTAAAAGAATGTTGTTTAGTTGTGATAGTGCTGACTTAGTTACCTGTGAGAAATGCTTGAAAATGATTTCAGCGTTTGAACTCCCTGAACACATAGATTATCATTACGCCAAGGTGATTTTTATATGTACATGAGATTGGAACTCACGTGTGGAATATTGTTTTTTTTAATGCTTGATTTCGATATCCAATGTGGGCACTTTTAAATATGAAGATAACTTGTGATCCATCAGTTAAAGTTTAACCTTACAGGGTATGATCATCAGGGGATCAGGGGATCCGTAGATCTGCATAAGATGAAGATCAATGCGTGATCTCAAGTTTTACAGCATTGAAGTTCTGACTTACGGTCCATACTTCTTTCATTGAAAGAGTTCTAATTTTCATAATTTGGATGATATAAAAGGAATTTATTAGGAGAGTGATTATTCAAAAAATTATTTTAAATAGTAAGATATCGCATATTTATTTTCAAATTTTTTTTTTAGGAATTACAGCGTGAGAATTCATTTGTCAAAACTATTGTTATTGACAAATCGAACAAAAATGGCGCGAAAATTGACGGAAAAAATGGAGGGAAACGAAAACGGTCTGTTCACAGTTCTGAGGCTGTGAAACGTCAGCACAAAGATATCAGTTCGTTCTTTAAAAAATCCTAGTTGAAATTTTTCATGTAAATTTTTCCCTGTGAAACCTGAAATGTGATATAATTGAAATTGTAAATTAGAAGTTAAAATTCTAACTGAATCCTATTGAACAAAAAACATCTTATTTATTTTTCAGATGAAAAAATGTCGGATAGCGACGAAGAAGAACTTTTTACATCAAGTAATAAATTAAATAGAAAATTGAAGGTTAATATTGATTAATTTAATTTAGGATCTACTTCAGCTCAAAACTGGACTCCCAGAAAAGTGATCTTACTAACAGGTTTGGAAATGGAAATACTTGTGGAATTAAGGTGTTTTTTGACATTGTAATTAGATCTTGAAATAGGTTAAGGTTAGATAAAGCTAAGCATGATGAATTTAATGGGAGTGCTAATATTGGGTAGTGGATTTAGTATTCAGAAAAAAACTACTCAATATTTAGTTTGGATACCCTCTGTGGGCCAGTTTCAATGGCATCATAAATTTTGTCGTAAAAAGTTGTCAAAATTTAATTTCATCCATAGATTTAACATAAAATTACGTAAGTTTTTAAAGGTCTTGCTGCTATTGGTGGATTTCTATTTGGATATGATACTGGTGTTGTCTCAGGAGCATTTATTCTCGTAAGAAGGTAACAAATACCATGTATTATTATGGAAAGAAAAATCACAGTACTCTTAAGTAAACTAGGAATTTTAATTGGCAATTAGATTTAATTTACAAGCTTTTGCATCCCAATTTTAATTTCTTTGATTGATTGATTGGTTTGAAAGGGATATGTCTCTGTCTGACACGTGGCAGGAGGTTCTAGTTTCCGGTACTCTGGTCTCAGCTTTTCTAACCGCTCTAACCACTGGAACTATAGCAGACAAGTAGTTTTTAAAATCTTGTTGAAGCTTCTTAAACTTATTGTTAAGATTTAAAACAAAAATTATTTTTTTTTGCACGAACCTATGAACATCTCCTTGACATGATTATTTTTAACTTCCCATATTGAGATTTGCCATGTGGAGTTTAACTTAAAACCTTACATAAGCCAAACTCTTATTTGCCCAAAAGTTCCTACAAACTATTTGACCAATGAAAGATCAGTTTATTTTGCATTAGCTGACATTTTACAATATTTGCCAATAAATGAGTATAACTGATCAATCAAAGGTTCTTCAAATCAAAACTTTAAATTATTTCTAATCCATAATGTTTGTTTTTTTCTTTTAGTTTTAAGATTCAGATTATCAAGTTAAGTGATTCATGTTAAATCTCAGTAAATAAATTTGGAAACAATTTTAGCTTATAAGTATTTGTTTAGGTTTGGGCGTCGGCCGACAATTTTGTTGGGCAGTTTTAACTTTGCAATAGGGTCCTTGGTGATGGCAGTTGCTTCAGGAAAGGTAATGATCTAATAGGGATTAGCGATTTACATTATTAAACGCTTTAACTTAAATATAACAATATTTTAAATTTATAATTTTTAGGAGATCTTATTGGTTGGACGGTTACTAGTTGGAGTAGGTGTAGGACTAGCCAGCACTACAGTTCCTTTGTACATAGGTAAATAGATTGAAAATAAGTAAACAAATACTTAATATCGTCTTCCACCCTAGTTAAAATCCGCCAAAAAAGAAAATGGAAATCTCCGAAACAGTAAATTGAATCAAGTAAAAATGTGATTAAATATTTATTAGCTTAAAGATACTTGAATCGGTTTCCTGTTTTAATGCTTAACTTTTATTGATCATTGATTATTGATCAATGATTGATTAGATAATTTTATAATTGAATGAGCACTTATCAGTGATCTTCTTTCTAATTGATCGAATAATTTAATTCAGGTGAAACGAGTACTCCTTCTCTAAGAGGTGCTCTTGTGACACTAAACACCTTGGCTATTGTGTTTGGTAATCCTTATTTGTTATATCCTTATTATTATTTTTATATTATTATTATTATTATTATCATCATTTAACCTACAGTTTAAGTATCATGCCCTGCAGGATATAATACTCGATGAGCTTATGGCCACCCACCCTTGTCTGCTTGGGTTGGTTGGGTGACAGTATATATTTTTTTTTAAACACGAGACCCTCAATTTGTAATGTTGCAAGTTTGATAAACAGCAGTACGGTTAACTCAAAGTTATAGTGTATCTATCCTCTTGAATTGTTTTTGTTTCAATTTGTTTCAAAATGTATTCTCCTACCAAATTGAAAACCAGAATTAATTAATTTTAAAAACTGTTTAGAGTAAGAAATATTTTGAACATGTTCATTGTTCAGGGCAGCTGGTTGCCAGCGTGTTATGCGGTGTCCTGGTCGATATTGAGGAGGGTTGGAGGTAAGCTGATTTTGATTTTATTTATATTGCAATTTTTTGTCTTCAATATACAGACTTCCTTCGCTTGATAGTTCTTAGACTAAGAACAGATTTATCATTTTTCTTGTGGCACTTTTTTTATGTCCAAAATTATATTTTTCATCTGATTTTATATTAATTGTTTATTAGATATATGCTTGGATTAGCCTTGGTACCTGCTGTAATTCAACTCATAGGCTTCTTTTTTATGCCTGAATCCCCAAGGTAAGTTCTAGTTAATATTTTTTAGGCCTGAACGCTCTTAAAAACTTAATAGCAGTAATTTGAATCTATTTAATCATGATGTGGAAATTTGGATCCGGTTAATCATGGTGTGGAAATTTGGATCCGGTAAATCATAGTGTGGAAATTTGTGGATTTTTGATCTGCACTAAGTTTGTTGGGCTTAATATTATTTCTTTGTTCCAAAATAGTAAAATACCAATGTTGAATCCTCTGTTTTTAAATAAAAGCAGGGAAAACATGGTTACTTGTTGCCTGAGGTACTAAGTTAACTTAAATTTTGCTTTGTTCTTTTAATATCTTGAAGAATAGATCTAGCAGCAGCACTGGATTAATTGCTCGAGCAAAGCCAGATCTATTGATGTTGCAGTGCTGTACTCCAAATTAATCTCCAGATCCTACAGCATTGTTGTTTAGGTTTCTAGTAAGACAGGGTAAATACACAGAAGCCCAGGAGGTTTTGATCTCCATTAGAAACCCTTATCATCAAATTCAGGCAGGGGTTTATACTGTCTTACACAACTTTTTCATCCCCGTTCTCAAACATTTGTTTTTTCTTATTTTGCTAGGATAGGGTCATATTGGTGGTCGGAGATAACAAATTGAGGTGTTAATCTATTGCCCCATTTCAGATTTTTTGAAAAATGGAAAAAGAAATGATTTTTTCAAGTATTTGCAAGTTGTAACCCCATTTTTTTGTCACCAAGGTTTGCATTTTGTAAAATATATAATACCCTGGACTCAGGAGGAGTTTGAAGATATCAAAGTGGACTGCAGCAGGGAAGACTTATTTATTTTTATTATTATGAAAGATCAAATCGTCATGAAGTTAAAGACTGCCTGTAATGTATCTAAGGATAATGCCCCATTATCTTGGAAAGAGACTTGCTGCTTATTTATAAAGTTGATGATTAGATATAAAAAGTTACGAATTTACCAGGGTATCTTTTATACCATGGCTTTTCTTTAAAATTAATTCCAGCTTTCTGTAGCAAAATTAAACACGAAAATATTTGCGACTGGAACCTTTTTGACCCCTCTCATATTGGACAATAATTTTCTTTCTTTATCCCTTTTTTTAAATGTCCAATTAGAGAATCTGGTTCCTTGTCAATGCTTGGATTCCTTAAATCTCTACCGGTTGACTCTATTGCAAGAAAAGCTTTATTTCTTGGTTGTCTTCTGCAGTTTTGCCAGCAATTGGCAGGTAGGTTTAAAATCAGGAAATAATTTTAGTTGCCTTCATTTATTTTTCCAAACATTAAAGTTGAGCAAACTTTTTTGACATACCCCATGTCCTCAAGTTGACATTCTCTTTGTCATAGTTAATTTTTATTTTTTTTATTCTACCATGCTTCTTTCCCTGTCTTTGCTTTATCCACCAAAATCCATCTGTTGTATATTTCCAGGTATTAATACTGTAATGTACTACGCGGCATCTATCATAAAAATGGCGGGAGCATCAAACCAAATGGCGGTCTGGTTCTCAGCTGTTACTGCCGCAATCAATTTTCTATTTACCATTTTGGGCCTTAAGCTGGTTCACATCATGACAAGGAAACCGAATATTTTTCAATCAATGGTTTTAAGACATAAAGTTTTTTATGTCAATTGTTGGTTTTTTAAAGGGTTTGTCAACATATTTGATTATTTCTCTTTAAAACCTTTTCTGTTAAACTACGGCATTGATTAGTCTTTTTTCCACCCAAATAAAGTTGATCTCTGATCATAGCTTGCATAATGCATATGCTGTGAAAATTCACAAGGATGGAAATATTACACTAAAATTAATACAAATTTATATCTATCAACATGGATTGGATATCATTGATATCCATAATCATGGATTGAATATCATTGATATCCATCGTCATGGATTGGATATCATTGATATCCATCGTCATGGATTGGATATCATTGATATCCATTATCATGGATTGAATATCATTGATATCCATCGTCATGGATTGGATATCATTGATATCCATGATAATGTATTAGATATCATTGATATCCATCATCATGGATTGAATATCATTGATATCCATCGTCATGGATTGGATATCATTGATATCCATGATAATGTATTGGATATCATTGATATCCATCATCATGGATTGGATATCATTGATATTCATCATCATTGATTGGATATCATTGATATCTATCATATTGGATTGAGTATCATTGATATCCATCGTCATGGATTGGTTATCATTGATATCCATCATCATTTATTGGATATCATTGTTATCCATCATCATGGATTGGATATCATTGTTATCCATGATAATGTATTGGATATCATTGATATCCATCATCATGTATTGGATATCATTGATATCCATGATAATGTATTGGATATCATTGATATCCATCGTCATGGATTGGATATCATTGATATCCATGATAATGTATTGGATATCTATTGGATATCATTGATATCCATCATATTGGATTGGATATCATTGATATCCATCATCATGTATTGGATATCATTGATATCCATCATCATGGATTGGATATCATTGATATCCATCATCATATATTGGATATCAATGAAAACGAAAAAATCTAACATGTTTAAAATATTCTGTTGTGAAGACGACGTTTGTTGTTTGTGAGTATGTGCTGTGTTATTGTGTCACTTCTGATAATATCAACCAGTTTTCTGTACATGGGAGACATCAAGATGCCAAATCAAACTTTAGGTATTAAATCAATTAATAAATTTCACTTTAAAGTCAAAGTAAAAAATGCAACTGTTCTTGGCGGACAGCCTAGTAACTTAGGCCATTGCCATTGCAGCCTGTTTGGCTAGAAGCACCAACCTTATTTTATTGAATATAGGACAGTTCATTTTGTGACTGATTTTATGGGATACAAGAGAAGGAAAAATGTTATGAACTTATATACTTTGTGTGACTTTGCTGAATAGCATTTGCGGGTGTAATGAATTTACTGTACGTACACTGTGAATCCCTATTTTAAAGATAATATTATTAGATTTCCCTATGTCAGGTTTGTCAATAGCAAATGAATCTCTGGCAAATGATTTTATTGAAGAAGCCTCAACTGATGATACATCTGTGACTGGTCCTGTCCTTATACTGGTGTCCCTATCCCTATATCTAATATCCTTTGCTCCAGGTAAAAAAGAACAAAAAAGATTTTCTAAACTTTTTCTTGAAAATAATATTTTACTTTTATTGAACGCTTCGCAAATACAAAATTAAACAGAATACATTTATCTTATAAATTTGATTTGATTTGATTTGATTTGATTTGATTTGATTTGATTTGATTTGATTTGATTTGATTTGATTTGATTTGATTTGATTTGATTTGATTTGATGTGATTTGATATTGTTTAGGGTTGGGACCCCTGCCCTGGACAATAAATAGTGAAATTCATCCTGGATACTGCAGGTGGGTTAATCAGTATTTTTAGCTGTTTTTTTCATGCTCTAAATAAAAAATTTGTTAAACACATTTATAAGTTCTTAACCAGGTTGATCTTCCTTCAGGAGGAGAATCAAAATTATATCCGTTTTTTTTTAAATTTCCAGTACTTCTTAAAGCAGTTAGCAACACAATCAGAAACAAGTTTTTAACATTAACATAAACAATTGACTTAATAATCTTTTTCATTAGAGCACAAGCCCAAAGTTTATCTACGAGCAGTAATTGGTTAGGAAATCTGCTGGTTTCCTTCACATTCCTTAGGTAACTTGGGTATTAATAGATATCGCTTTTAACAAACAATTGTTTGTTCTTTAATAATAATAATAATAATAATATCCATCGTCATGGATTGGATATCATTGTTATCCATCATCATGGATTGGATATCATTGTTATCCATCATCATGGATTGGATATCATTGATATCCATCATCATGGATTGGATATCATTGATATCCATCATCATGTATTGGATATCATTGATATCCATCATCATGGATAACTCACGTGTGGAATATTGTTTTTTTTTAAATGCTTGATTTCGATATCCAATGTGGGCACTTTTAAATATGAAGATAACTTGTGATCCATCAGTTAGACAATAGACAGTAGACAGTAGACTGTAGACTGTAGACTGTAGACTTTAGACTGTAGACAGTTTACATGGTAGACGTAAATGATAAACAATATTTTTTTTGGTATACTTTAAAGATGACCAAAAATATTGACCAATCAAGAAATATTACATGTGGGACAAAAATAAAACAGGAAATCAGAAAGAATAAATAAAAAACCGCATACCAAATAAACACTGTAAATTTGAGATATCATTTAAACCTTCCTAATCATTTAATGGTAAATCAAGTTTCTGCATAAAAAAATAATTGAAAATTTGTTTTTTGTAAAATAAATTATCAAAACCAAGCTGGATCCGGATCTATATTTTTACAAGACGGATTCAGGATCCGGATCCGCATCAAAATAAAATGGATCCAATTAGCACTACAAGAGATGAAAGCAATAAAATAACACAATATTGATTTCTAGGGTGTGAAGTTGGAAGAAGTTAGTTCACTGTTTAACGACCAAAATGAAACTGAAAGGTCTGGTCGAGTCTTCTACTCAAGAATTCCTTCTCCTAACCAATAGCAGCGTTATAAATAAAGGAATGTGTTAGGTTTTTTCCCAATGGCATTTTTCAAAGTGACAATTTCCCAAGTGGCGACTTCCCAAATGTACAGCTTCCCAAATGTGCAACTTCCCAAATGTGCAATTTCCCAAGCGGCAACTTCTCAAAGGTTAGGTTAATGGGGAGGCAAGTGCTGTGGCTAGGACGGGCTAGGGGGAGGGTCGAGTGCTGCGGCTAGAACAGGATAGGAGGGCCTAGCGCTGTGGCTAGGACATGCTTGGGAAGTTGCCACTTGGGAAGCTGCCACTTGGGAACCTGCAACTTGGGAAAATACTCTTGGGAAGTTGCCGCTTAAGAAAATGTCTGAGAGAAAGTACCGAACATTAAAAGAATAAGGACAATATTCATTCTAATTTGTTTGTTGCATTGAATCTGTGATATTTTAATGATATTTTTTTCATATTTTATTTGGGCATTTATTCTTCGGATTCATAATCATTTCCTTTGCATTATAGGTTGACAATTCATTCTTAAAGAAAAGACTTACTAATCTGTTCTTCAAAACATATTATATTATATTTTTAAATTTTTGTCGAAAAAGAACAGGGATAACTTTGCTGCATTTTCACATTGTGTTTACTTAATATCAACAAAAGTTAGATAAAAGTAAAAACAGAAACGGAGCATTGGCCTCAAAGTCTAGTTTATTTTAATCCCTTTACATTTGCAACCTAATGGGTTGTTGTTTTTGATGTTTTAAACTTTGATTATTAGATCTAGCAAAATATATTCTTGAAATATTAAGTTCTACGTCATCAGGTTGCAAAGATATAAGGAATAGAAAATTGATTGTGAGGCAAGTTTTCAGTTTACTTGTATCTTTTTAAACAGGCGCAAAGTCTAATCGACCCATGTTTCGTTGCATGACGGTCTATGTCTTTGAATAATAATAATAATAATCTTATTCCAAATTTTCAGATTAAAATGAGCGCTTTCCCGCGTCGTGTTCCCAAAGCTGTTGTTAAGGTAAATCCTAAAACATGATCCCAGGACATGGTATATAATTAGTCCCCAAAATCAAAAGATACAACCAATTAAATATCACGTATATTGGGATCGAACCTAAGAAACTTGAGATACAATTAATCCAAAGAAACATGAGATAAATATGATCCAAAGAACCATGAAATACAATTAATTCCAAGTAACATGAGATACAATTAATCCCAAGAAACATGAGATACAATTAATCCCAAGAAACATGAGATACAATTAATCCCAAGAAACATGAGATACAATTAATCGAAGAAAAATGAGATACAATGAATCCCAAGAAACATGAGATACAATTAATCCCAAGAAACATGAGATACAATTAATCCCAAGAAACATGAGATATACAATTAATCCTAAGAAACATTAGATAAATTTATCCTAAGAAACATGAGATACAATTTATCACAAGAAACATGAGATACAATTAGTCCCAAGATACATGAGATACAATTAATCACAAGAAACATAAGATACAATTAATCACAAGAAACATTAGATAAATTAATCCAAAGAAACATGAGATACAATTAAACCCAAGAAACATGAGATAAAATTAATCCCAAGATACATGAGATACAATTAATCACAAGAAACATGAGATACAATTAATCCCAAGGAATTGAGATACAATTAATCCCAAGAAACATGAGATACAATTAATCCCAAGATACATGAGATACAATTAATCACAAGAAACATGAGATACAATTAATCCCAAGAAACATGAGATACAATTAATCCCAAGAAATATGAGATACAATTTATCCCAAGAAACATGAAAAACTTTTTGTTCTCAATTTTTTTCTATAACTTTGTTGTTATCAACTTTTTCAGCCATCTTTTATGCTATACTTACTATACTTCTTTTTGTTATCAACTTTTTTGGTTACAACTTTTTTTGCCATAATTTTTTTGTTTTTCAATTTTTTGTGTTAAACTTTTTCTTCTCAACCTTTTTTGCTATCAACTTTTTTTGCTATACACTTTTTGTTATCATTTTTCATTTTTTTATCAACTTTTTTATTAGATTTTATCGTTTTAATAGGAAAATGTGAACCTCAGACGAGCCTTTGTTGGGGTGTTAACTGCTTCGCCACTGGTCGTAGGTAGGAGGCAGTGTTTCGGATACGTATCATTTTGATGCGGATCCGGATCCGCGGATCCGCATCCGTGATGATGGATCCGGATCCTGACTCTGATACGGATCCGGATCCGAAACACTGATATTAATAATTAATATAGTCTAATTCAGCCCTAGCTTGTTCCGATCACGTTCATCTTTTAAAAATGAATACTTTATATATTTGAAATTTGCGCCATGTGAGCATTTGCCGCTGAGTAATCCTAAAGTTAAAAATGTCGTCATTACTATTATATAAATGTAAACATTAAATTATTAAAGATAATTTTGAAAAATTTTCGTCATGTAAATAATACATTTACGAACCATTTTGATTTATTTATTCNTAAAAAAAATTAAAATACGGATCCGACCGGATCCGGATCCGAAACACTGGTAGGAGGAATCCATACAGTGGGACCCATTAAACTCTGGAGTAGGAAGACGACTTTTAGACTCAGAAATAGATCTTAAATAGTCCAATTAACACATAGAACACATTTTTTACGCCACAAGTTAATTTTCAAGCTAGTAATGAAACTATTTGCTTAATAACATTGTTTAAAAGTTATCTTCCATAAGTTAATGGGCCAGCTCTGCTTTAATAATATCAATAATTTAATTTCTCTACCACATTAAAGATGTTTTTGAAGTACTACTTCTTTTTATTATTAATTCATTCCAGAAAATGTTGCGCTAATACATTTCTCGNATCTCTGTCTCGAAATATATTTCCAAAATTCCTGTATTATTATACATAAAGATTGTCGTGACCATCTCCGTGTTGAGAAGTGTCTCTGATACGAGAAAATGGTAGATTTAAAGGGACTGTATTTCTAGTTGTAATTTTAAGAGGTCTGATTCACAGTGGTACTTATTAAAATATATTTAACTTTTTTTTTAGCTGAAGAAATTATTAACTCTCACAATTCCTTTGTTTCTGTTGCTAGAAATCCACAAGTCACTTTATGGAAAGCAAAGAATTTTAAATTAAAATTTTCAAAACTTTTAATCATACTGTTGTAAATGTTAAAAGAAATGGTCTATTGAAATTGTAAGTGACCGAAATGTTGCTCTCATTCTGGGCCGTAGGGCAATCTTTGATCGGTACGTTTTTATTTTTCTAATTAAAAATTTGGGCATTATTGTAAAGGTGAACAATCCCTTTAAAGGACAGAGGAATAATTCAAGGTTTAAACTATAGGTGGGGTTGGTGAATACCTAGGCTGGTGGAAGAAATTAGACCTTCCGGAGCCAGGTAAACAGTACTACTGTCATACAGAACTACAGTCAACCTCACAGTCACACAGAACTACTGTCAAACGTTACTACTTAAAACAGAACTTCTGTCAACCTCACAGTCGCACAGAACAACTGTCAAACGGTACTAGGCTGTCAAACTGAACTACTTTCAAACAGTACTATAGTCAACCAGATGAGGAAAAGAGGGTTTAAATAAATTAAGTACATGTTTGAAATCATGATAAATACAGATAAAACTAAATCAACCAAACTTAAACGGAGGGAGCTCAAGCCTACAACCTAGTTTGAAGGTTTGACAGTGATTATTATCATTATTATTATTATTAAACTACGAAGAACCCAGAATTAACCATGAAGAAAAATAAACAATCAACAAAATACAGAAATCTACCAATACATTCATTAAAAAAATTGTACAACAAATTTAATTTTATTAATTAAATTTTTCAGGAACCCCAGAGAGAATGCTTTTTGATACACAAAATAATGATATAAGGTAAATATATCTTTACATTTTTTCTTCTTTTGTTTGTTGTTTTTTGCTGGATACGAATTAACTCCAGATTTCGCATGAAAAGTGTTTACAAATTCTTCAATAGTAAACTGGAAAATTTTGTAATTTTTTTTTTGTCTAATGTTAACAGTTTTTTAAGAATGGGCAGTGGTACAATTCTCAAGAATTCTTAATTAATGGTAATACAGGGTTCTCAACAAAACATAAAGGTTAAGAGACGACTTGAAGATCATCTTTGATCTTTGAAACTCCAAAATAATGCCGCTAATTATTTCAAAGATCAAAGACGATCTTTTAGTCATCTCTCAACTGTCATGTTTCGTGGGACACCCTGTATAATGTATAATATTAATTAAGGACAATGAGACAGTGGATTGGATCTGTGCCGTCTCTATCCAGAACTGTTTCTATGATTCAGGTTAACCCTTGTTTGACAGTAGTTCTGTTTAACAGTAGATCAGTCTGACTGTAGTTCTGTTTGACAGTAGTTCTGTTTAACAGTAGATCAGTCTGACTGTAGTTCTGTTTGACAGTAGTTCTGTTAAACAGTAGATTAGTCTGACTGTAGTTCTGTTTGACAGTAGTTCTGTTTAACAGTAGATCAGTCTGACTGTAGTTCTGTTTGACAGTAGTTCTGTTAAACATTAGATCAGTCTGACTGTAGTTCTATTTAACAGTAGTTCTGTTTAACAGTAGATCAGTCTGACTGTAGTTCTTTTTGACAGTAGTTCTGTTTAACAGTAGATCAGGCTGACTGTAGTTCTGTTTGACATTAGTTCTGTTTAACTGTAGTTCAGTCTGACTGTAGTTCTGTTAGACAATAGTTCTGGTAGACATTAGTTCTGTTAGACAGCAGTTCTGTTAGACAGCAGTTCTGTTAGACAGCAGTTATGTTTGACAGTAGTTCTGTTAGAAAGTCTGGCTCTAGTACGATCAGTTTGATCATCGTCGTATTACGATCGTAATTTCAAGTGTCCCTCCATCTAAAGAGAGGTATGCCCGACTCACAAATTTACCCTTGAAACCTATATTAGATCAATAGTTTTGAAGCTAACGTCGTTTTTCAACCTTAAAATGTGTTTAATTCTGATAATTCCCGCGGAAATGATTCAAATTAAAAATCATCAGTCTTTAAATTATAAACATGGGTATCTAATTCATTAATACAAAGCTTTGAATGGTATCGATGTGAATTGGATACACACTCTGAAAATGAAGGGTCACTTGAAACTATCCTAGACTATCCCAGAAACTATAGAAGCTGTAATTGCGTTTCATGTCTATAAAAGTCTAGTTATAATCTTAGCTTTTTGTTGTTAATTTGTGTTACTAAAAAAAGATCTGTTTTTAATGGTAGATTTTCGAGGGGAGGAAGGACAACCACAACAATTCCTAGTGTTAACATAATTAAGGGACCATTAATTTGAAGTGTTTCATGTTCAATTCACAACATTCCCCTTTAATGCTTTAGATTTTTTTTTAAATTGAGGTTTTCTGTAAAAAAAAATACTTTCGGGTTTATCCAGCAGAGAAACTGGAGAAATTAAGAGACTTTATATATTTTATACGACTGAAAAACGAAGATAATGTTCTCAGTGCGAAACTTTATAGGGCTAAAGAGTATTGTTGTGTGTCGGTCATCCTACACTTTAAATTCGGGGAAACATGCAATTATGTCGGCAGTCTCTTTTTTGTAGTCTTTTTTTTCAGGAAACAGAAAAGAAATTGTTCCAGATGGATATGTCGATAGGAGTCAAGAAATTTATCCTGGATGAAAAGTAGGGATTTTCTTGAGTTTTTAGAAGTTTTCAAATGGGTTATGTATCTCTATAGTTCTCTATGGTTTATCTATGGTTATCTATGGTTATCTAAGGTTCTCTATGGTTCTTTATGGTTCTCTATGGTTCTTTGCGGTTTAATATGGTTCAATTTGTTTTTTTCTGATTCTCTCTGGTTCTCTAAGGTTCTCTTTGATCCTCAATGGTTCTCTCTATGGTTCTCTATGATTTTCTATAGTCCTCCAAGGTTCTCCATCCATGTTATTTTTAGTTTTTAGAAGTAAATTTATTGCTTCTAAATATAAATACATATTAAATAAAGAGTGTATAAAAGGAGAGGAAGTTGAGTATGCGTTCTCTAGTTCCAGGATCCGACACTTCTAATTTGCAGATTTTATTATCCTCGTTCGGGGATTTCTATCTTTTCAAGTTTTTATTTATTTCCGGTTAAATTGTTTTATATCTCATTTAAATAATCCTATTTGAGAATACAGTGGGACCCTTTAAAGTGTGGAATAGAAACACAACCATTAGACTAAAGTTGTGGCATCAATTAGATCAAACAATCAATATGTAAATCATCTTTGAAAATGGACTTAACTCGTACTCTAAAATCAAAAACCCTTCTTCTATGTGCATCTAAGTTTGTTAAAATAAATGGAGGATTCTGTCAAAACATTAAAATAGATAAATGAAATTGTGTTACAATAATTATAACATTGGTAACATATGTATCAAATAAATATGCTTTAATGATTAAAACAATCCAAATAGATCAATGATGACACCACTACTGTATTGTCTGGGTTCCTATCTTTTGCTTGATATGTTTGAAGCTATAGTTAAAACATTTTCTATTTGTTGAGTTCATTAGAGGTCATTAGAGGCCATTAAAATTCAACTCAATTTTATTTTAGGAAATTCGAACACTAATTAGGCGTGCAACCAAAAAAATGGAAGATTTGTATCAATAATTAAGGCAGCGACCCCCCCCCCTCATCAAATAGGACATCTCCTCCATACCCTTTTATTTATTTTTTATTTTATTTTAAGTGCTGCTAAGAATGAGGAGGGGGTTGAGGTGGATTCTCTTATTTTTACACAAGCCCCACCAAAGCTTAAGGAAATTAACAAAGTTCAAATTAATTAGTTTTTAAAGTTTTTCTTTCAATATTGTGTTTGGCGCCTATTTTAACTTTAGACTTAGGGTTTAGAATAAAAATCTCAAAATTTGAAAAGTTGTCAAATTAATTGATTATTCGCCACAAACTATAATTTTCTATTACCTATATATTTGCAACATAATGGTGAATTCTTGGTGCTCTTTTCAATTTTAGATTATTGGTTTAAAAATCTCAACATTTGCAAAGATTTAGGTTTTGAGTTCAGCTTGATGCATTGTCAAATGAATTGATTATTTGCCACAAACATAATGGTGAAACTTTATAATACATCAAATTTTAATAAGGTGATTTAATAGTAAAATATCATGTTGTATAGATTTTAGAAATTAGATTTTAGCGGATTTTTAGTTTTTTTTAAAGTTTGATTAGTTTTTAAAGTTGAACTTTGTAATGTACAATCAGGGGGATTCTTTAATTGTTGTGACATCATCAAAAAAATCTGACACAGAAAAACAAGATGGAGGACAACCAGATGGCGGATTAAAAAATGGCGGGAAAACAGCTGAATCATAAAAAATCTCAAAAACTAAATTTAATATTTCTAGTATAAAATTGTCAGAGGAGTAATAGTCTGATTTTTATTGCAGAAGACAAAATGTCCAAATTGTCGAGGCGGAAGAAGGCATCAAAAAAGTTATTGGTCGACGATAGTGGAGAGGATTTCAAGGTGGAGGATCAACAAGAATGCCGCAACAATTTGTAAGTACAAAAATCTATTTTTGTTTTTATTTTTTATTACGAAATAAGAGGTTCTTTTTAAATATAAGTTTGACAAAATTGGTTGAAACAAAGATTTTAAAGGGACTGTAAACGTAATGTTAGATTACACTCCGTTTGCAGGCTGGCATGTCCGATTCAGAACCATACTCTTTGAACCTCCTTTAGATTAAAAGAAACAGACGCTGAAAAAGAGAATAAGGATGAGAACATGCGAAGAGGAGGAGAAGAAGAAGAAGAAGAAGACAACGACGAAGAAGATGGAGAAAACTCTAAACAAGAAAAGGGAGAAAAACAGAATTTGCCCGATTGTCCTTTTTGTGGAAAAGACTTTAGGTAACAAAACATAGTTATGTTTAAGTTAATTACATCCCAAACAGAGGCTTATTCAAGGGGGGGTGGGTGGCGGCATTGGGGCTTAGCCCCCCTCCACGGACCACTGAAATCCAGACAAATTCCATAATAAGCCCCTGACCTCAAATCTTTTGTTTTTCAGGAGCGCACTGACCTCTGTGCGCGCCGGTCATCTGAAGTCCTGCGCGCGTAAGAAAGGTGTTGCCACCAGCACGCTCATGGAGGTTGTTCAATTGGAACGGAAACAGGCAGAAGAACGCAAAGGAACGGTATAAACCAATTTCTTAATACAGTAAGATTCATAAAATTGTGGCTTAGAAAAGACGACATTAAACCAATTTTATGTGTATTTGGTGTTGTTACCAAACAAATAGTTAAACGTTTATTGGACACCAACAGACAGATAAATAAGCCGAAAATATATATTGATTAAAAAAATCGATTCTGTTGAATATGAAAACAACCATTCTATCAATCTTATGTGTATTTGCTGTTGTCAAGTAGCAAATAGATTTGCAAATAGTAGCTTGAAGATCAAATTATTAATAGAAATCTGTGTACACTGCATAATTGCTGTTTTTTATGTTCATTAAGCTATTTAAAATCATAACTTGAGATTAAGTCGTCTTTCTATTCTATAGATGTACGAGGTCCGGTGTAAAAGATTATTATTAGTCATCTATACTTAAATATGTCCTGTATTCAGAAGAAAAAAAATTAAATTGGTTTTTGTGTTGTTAGCACTTGGGCTTCGACCCCCCTCTCCTCTTCCGGACAGGAACAAACGGAAACCGGAAGTAGTGAAAAGACCGAGGTAGAGTTTTTAACAACTAGTTAGCACATTTTATAGCGGTCCCCAGAATGCAAAGGAACCTGAAAAGTAAACCGATTTAATTTGAATTTTACTTACTGTTGGTAAATTATATTTTTATTTTTTATATTTTGCTTAATTTGTTATAATATTTATAATATTTACTGCAGAAAAATTTATGATTTGATTTGATTTGAAATGTATTTCTAACAAAAGCATAAGTCCCCCCTCTCCCTTCTGGTTATCATTTCCAGGTCCCGGTATAAAAAAAAACATTTATTTTTTCGATTTGAGCATATTTCAATCGGAGTTTCTACCTTTTCTTTATTATGCTCAATGCACATTGCAGATGCTCAACCCTCTCCTGAGAAAAATTTTAATTGCGTTCATGATTAGTTGGAGGTAAACCCTTTACATGTCTCATTTTCTCTTGGACAATTGAAATCAATATCATTCTTAAACCTCCATCAACTGTTTCAGCTTTATTTTAAAGTAAAGAAGTATATTTGTAAAAAGATATATTTGTTGTCTTGGACATTGAGTAGCCGACTTTTAGTTTGCGAAACATGACTAGACTTGGAAAAAGCATTTGACATTCCAATAAAATATGATAAATGCTATTGATATTATCTAAGGTGCAACTATTGGTTTTCTTTGCACGGGGGGGGGGTAAACCTTCACATATTAGTAGTTTGATCAATTTGAAACGCAATAAAAAGTTTCCTACCAGGACTGAAGATGAGGGTGGAGCAGATCCTGATCTTGCATTAGCTCTGGCTCTTTCTCTCTCTGTTCAACAACCCTCGCAGGTTGGTCTTTTTTTCTGCTTGAGTTGATGGATGGGTTTTAGTAGGTTTTTTTTTTTCATGTGCTGTAATGTAAGGTTGATTGTGTTGGTTATTTTATATATTTTGGTTGATCGGGTGGCCGGTTGGTTGGTTGGTTAGTTAGTCAGTTAGTTGGTTGGTTGTTTGGTTGGTTGTTTGGTTGGTTGGTTGGTTGGTTGGTTGTTTGTTTGTTTGTTTGTTTGTTTGTTTGTTTGCTTGCTTGCTGGCTTGCTGGCTTGCTTGCTTGCTTGGTTGGTTGCTTGGTTGCTTGGTTGGTTAGGTGGTTGGTTAGTCGATTGATTGATAGGTTGATTGATTGATTGATTGATTGATTGATTGATTGATTGATTGATTGATTAAATCAGGTTGAAATTGACCAGAAAAGGACAGGCGTACCATCAAGTCCTAAAATGTGGCTTCCACAACCTCCAAAGGTAAAAGGTTTCTCCAGTGTCCAATAATAAAATCTGGCACAATCACTTGTTTGCTCAAATTTTGTCAATTCTCTTTATCTCGAATATCTCAGTCCACTCTTATTTAGTTATTATAAAATATTTTTACCCCTTTTAAATTTGTGAATACTTCCTTTAGGAGGATACTAAGAAGCGGCGAGGAGGCCGGAAAGGTTGGAGGCCGCCGACTATCCTCGAATGTAGAACAGGAGCAGAAAGGGAGAGAATTATTGGTAATATTACTTTTTTTACTTTTTTGTGGAAATGCATTAATAATTTCGATAATGATTATCATCATAATCGACATCATTATTATCAAAATCATCCTCATTGTCATCATTATCATTATCATCATAATCATCATCATTATCATCAATATCGTCATTGTCATCATTATCATTATCATCATCATCATAATCATTATTATTATCATCAATATCGTCACTATCATCATTATCATCATTATCATCACTATCATCATCATCATCATCATCATCATCACGATTATCACAATCATCACAATCATCACGATCATCACGATCATCACGATCATCACGATTATCACGATTATCACGATCATCACTATCATCACTATCATCACTTTCATCACTAACATCACTATCATAAATATCAACATAATCATCACGATCATCACGATCATCACTATCATCATTATCATCACTTTCATCATTATCATCATTATCATCATTATCATTAGTCTTGCTATCATCATTATCATCATCCTCATTATCATCGGAAGGCCATCGGATCCATGTACTAAACGCATCTTCAGTAGTCTTAAATTAGATTAAATTAAATTGAGATATTTTTCTACAAACATGAAATCAGATATAATTTTTGCTCTGCACGTATTGAACTAACATTTTACCAAGCTCTCATTTCTCTCGGGTACGAACACATATTGTAATATTTAATGCATGAATAATTTCAAATATTTCATTCTTCAGTCTTGTTTTTTTTATTTTGGTTTTAATTTATTTCAATGTTATTTTAAGTTTATTTATTCATTTTTTGTTATTTTCTTTAACTAAACTGTATTTAAGGAGAAAGAGTTGGCAGTATCCTTTACCCAGAGAACCCCCCTCTTCTTCCCAAAATTATCAGGTTTTTCTCATAGCCCATTTTCTACTTTTTATTCTTCCCAATATCTACAATTCTTCTTATATTTTGTTATTTGTGCTTGTAGCCCCTGTTTTTTTATATTTTTATTTTTTATTTTGATTGAATTATTAGTTCTTTATATTTTTATTTCTATTTTTCTTAAGTGTCCTGAACCGCGATTTAAAAGCTTCAACTCGGGTCGTAATTCCTTAATCCCAGCCGTAAACCCAATCTAAGACCCAACTTTGACAACAGCTTGTGTCACGTGATTGACAGCTTCGAAATATTAGGCTCGACTTGAGTAGTTAGGCCCGATGAAAATAAAATCGACCTTGGTTGGTTTTAGTGGAGAATAAGGCTCAATGTTGAGCCTTGTTCTCATCAAAACCCGGAATTCGCCAATTCAAACCATGAGAATCCGTCAAATACAATATAAAACCGGTTTTAGAAACACAAATCTGTGGAAAATTAGATGCAACTTAAATCCGAAAGCTCAAGCCGTAAAAGGCCCAGCGACAGCTTAGACCCGAGATGTATTTTCTTGAATCGCGGGCTCTGGATCATGAATATTAAATTCATCCTTTCTTCTTCCTTCCATATATTCATTCATTCACTCACCTATTAATGCATTCATTGATTTGTGTAGAAGGTGGGAGGGTGGTAGACTCTGCGCCCCTGATCTCCTGAGTATCCAGGGAACCTACATTTTATTATCTATCTATCTATCTATCTATCGGTCTATCTGTCTATCAATCTAGCCATCTATCTGCATGTATGTCTATCTTTCTGCATGTATGTCTGTCTATCTATACATCTGTACATCTATCTGTCTGTCTATCTATCTATATGTTTTTCTATCTATATTGCTATCTAAATATCTATCTATCTATCTATCTATCAGTGTATATATCTATCTATTTATCAATCTATCCATACATCCTTCTATTTATTTATCTATCTATCTATTTATGTATCTATCTGTCTGTCTATCTGGCTTATTGACTTATTGGGTGAAATAGGTCTGGTACAGTTTATACCTACATTGGAACCTATTTACCTGTGGAATAGGAAAGACGACCTGTAAGCAATCTTGTATATTAGATGTTATAATAAAGCAAATAGTTTTCCCAGTAGCTTGAAAATAAGCTTGTTAACATTGTACAAAACACAAGTTCTGTTTTTCATATTATTGGACAATTTGATTCATTTCAGAATAATAGTTGCTTCCTGTTTCACAGTTTTATTGGACAATTTGATTCATTTCAGAATAATAGTTGCTTCCTGTTTCACAGTTTTATTGGACAATTTGATTCATTTCAGAATAATAGTTGCTTCCTATTTCACAGTTTTATTGGATAATTTGATTCATTTCAGAATAATAGTTGCTTCCTATTTCACAGGTTTATTGGGTCCAAATGTATTTAGAGCTTTTACTTATTAGAAGCCGATGCTATTAAAAAATCTTGGTACCATAAAATTAAGTTAAAATTCACGATATAATGTCCTCTAAACTTTTCTTCACTTATACTGTTGGTTACAGGACGATAGTGCCCGTGTATGGAACTGTTCGTCTTCTGCTGACCGGCTCACACCGTCCAAACTAATCGTCCAGGAGCTTTCAGAATACATGAACCCTCGTCTCTGTTCTGGTAACAAGGTAAGGATGTAATGGTTAGATTAACATCATTTCAGAATACATGAACCCTCGTCTCTGTTCTGGTAACAAGGTAAGGATGTAATGGTTAGATTAAAATCATTTCATAATTAGTTTATCATTGACTGAAACTGATTCAGAGATGAAAACTTTAGAATGGGATATTCTTAATCCAGATCGGTTAATTAATCTGGAGATTAATAACAAGAGGAGAACAAGCATTTTTTAATCTGGAGATTAAGAAAAAGAGGACATCAAGCATTAATTCCGATATCCACCATTCAAAAGTTTCCAGCTCAGATTTTATTGGATAAGTGGCATGAGAGGGTTTCAAAACTTACAGAATTTATTTGATTCAAACATTTTAGATTGAACCGAATTAATAGTTTTCTGATTCAGGAGTCTGTGCCTGAAGTCAGGCCCCAGGAGGGTATTCAAGGTAGGGTTGGGCATCAATTTGAACTGCGTTTTTATTCATTTTTTACTCTGACCAAAGATGTTAATTTATTCTTTGGACAAAGAAAAAATGTAGAATAAAATAAAAGCTAACTTATATAATTTACAATTTTGCTGCACAGTGAGACCCATCAAATTGTGGTTTATGAAGACGACTGGTAGGTTCAAGTTAAAAATTTAAATAGTCTAAACAGCATGAAATACAGCAATTTGCTGTTGGACACATTCACATTCCACTTTCTAAGTTGTTTTTGTAACAACCTGTAAAACTATTTGCTTTATAACAGCCTCGAATACTCCTAAGATTACTTAAATGTCGTCTTATTCCACAGTTTATGAGTCTCACTGTATGGGACAAACTTCTCAAGTTCTTTTAGCAAAGTAATCCTCGAATTTTTAAGAAAACTCTGCCCAACCCTAATTAAAGGTCTAGCCCCGAGTTTGACCCGTCTAAGTGAAGATCTGTTGAAGCTGCTGACCGCTAGAACAGGAGATTGGGATCTTCAGATTATCTGCAGAGACGAGAGAACGGTTAACTGTCATAAACTAGTTCTTCAGGAACTCAACAGATGTCTCATTTAATATTTTTTAATTACTAGGGGGGGGGGGGTAGACAGACATATAGTCAAATGCATTATGCAGATGTGTGGGCAAGTCTTCTTGCAATCTCCTGGAAGGGCTGAAGGCTAATAATTGTCTTCAAGGGACTACTCCGGACTTCGGAGAGGAATACATAACTATATAGAAGGATAAACTGAATTTGGACTACAGTGGGCTTTACAGGGGATAAAAATATTTTAAAGAAAATACATTTTTCAGGGGGGGATTTTACTTACTTGCCCCCCCCCCTCCTCCTCATGGCTAAACCCCTACCTACAAGGACAAGATGTTGAATTATCCAGGCCCGTTGTCCTGTCCTACTCAGAGGAATGGTGATAGAGGAGGACAAAACAAGGGAAACAACAAAATTATGAAAAAAGAAACAAAAATATTTTTAATTCTATTAAAAAACCGTGAATACTCTGATATTATTTAATCTCTACATCTTATAAATCTGCAGGCTTACACCAATGATATTTCAAACTGTGACTATTTCGGCAGAATTCCTAAATAATAGTTCGAAACTAAAAAGGTCTGGGAAATTAGTTGACAAATATTCGAAAATCAAAATTTTTGGCAAGTAAACAGTTTTGTTGATTTTAAAGTTTAAACCCAGAAATGCGCAAGCCACTTAATGTTTAACGATGTCTCTACTAAAGTGGCTTGCGCATTTCTGGTGTAGGAAACCAATGTAATAAATATCAGAGTTTAAGAATTTTTTTTTGTCTCACTTTAGTACAAAGCAGTACATCGTTCTTAGTGAAACAGATGAACTCATAGTACAGGTACATTTTACAGTTATTATAATAGCGGTTTTATAATAAACAATACACATAGTACACACATTTGCTGTACAGTTTGTACAGCTTTTATAATATAAGTTTATATAATAAATTTAGAATACATGGAGTACATACAGGTACATTAGCTGTACAGTTTTTACAGTTTTATGATATATGTATTAGAAAACAGAGTACATACAGGTATATTTGCTGTACAGTTTGTACAGTTTTTATAATAGAGGTTTTATATTATATACAGTGATAATCAGAAAACTATGAAAAAGGACGGCGACATGTTAGCACTAATTAAGTGTATTTGATGTTGTTTCAAAGCAAATAGTTTAACTAGACACTTATTAACTCAATAGTTCTGCACAATTGCCGTGTCTCATGTTAAAATCATAACCTGAGTCTAAAAGTCGTCTTCCTATTCCATAGTTTTCTGATTTTTACTGTAGAGTAAATATATAGTTGAGTTAAAGCGGCATCATGGTGCATTGTGTTTTCCGATCATAATTCATGAACCCCTTGACCGATTTGACACAAATTTTGATTGGGGAACTCGATAAAACCAGGGAAATGTTCTTTGCTTGGTTTAAACGTTCTAAGTCGAGTAGGTTTTATTTTAGTTTAGATTTCCAGGACAAGCTGGGTTCCCAAGCTAGTATTTATATATAACACTACCTGTCAGCTATAAATTCATCTACACTGGCTCAGCAATGAAAAACACAGTGTACACTAAGGGAGGGTTATCAGGCGGTAAATTGGGGGATGGGGCGGGGAGGGATGTACACTCTAGTATTAAACCTCTATTGAAGGATGGGGCGGGGAGGGATGTACACTCTAGTATTAAACCTCTATTGAAGGATGGGGCGGGGAGGGATGTACACTCTAGTATTAAACCTCAATTGTTTTGGCAAATGTGGAGTTAAATGATTTAACACAAATCAATGATTCAAACATCAAACTGTATTATCACTATTTCTACCATTTGAGAAAATAAGAAGTCATTTTTATTTATTTTTTCGGAATAATGTAATTTTTTTAGATTGTTCTTGAATATATCTATGGAGGGGTTTTCAATCTTCATAAGATTACTGACAGGTTCCTTAAACTTTATTATATTATTTATCAAACCAATAATGTTAATTAATTATTTTTTTATTTAAAGGGGCTGTAGACGTTATTTTAAGTGTCCATTAATGGTTGACGGGATTTTATTATTTTAAGTGACTTGTGGGTTTCTGCTAAGAAACAACGTAGGGTTTTTTTCAGAATTAAACACTTTTGTGGGAGAAAAAACAACAGTATGGATCAGGTTTAAGTTTAAAGAGTATCGTTATGCATCAGGCATTCCCCTTTTTAATGGTTTAATTGGTTTAATTTCAGGTATCAGCTGCAAGCGTTGAAATCACTCAGCCAAGATCTAGCACTCCAGGAAATGTTGAACTGCATCAAAACTATTCAGGTACAGGGTGTTACACAGGACATGATTTGAAGATCGTAAATCAAGAAACTAAAATTTTAACTTTTAGGTACAATAGGATAATTTGATTTAATGAAATTTCAGTTAATAAAGCATGTTTTATTTTTCAAAATCTTTAACATGGCACAGTGGTTTGGGAGTTGCGCTTCGGAGCATATTTAAATTGATCCAGTGGGTCCAGTGCTCAAGGGAGCACTGGACCCACGAAAGGTTCATGTCAACAAAACCAGTTGGCGTGATCAATAGTAATGGAGCCAGTGCTCCCTGTTTTACAAAGGAAAATTTTTAAATCGTATTACCAAGGTGAAATGTTGGATGTGCATCAGCCTTACCACTTGGCTGCTATACAGTATTCATGCATTATTTGTATTGCAAAGTGTTTTATTTTACTTTATTTTCAAAGCTATATATGTTTGTAAATTAACATGTTTCACTTTTATTCTATCCTATTATAAAGCTTGGTAACTAACCACCACTACCCTAGGATGATCATTTTAGGTTGTATTTCCAATAGTTCAAAGAAGGTTTTTGGGAGAATTTTTCTTGCCTGGTTCATTGGATCCATAATTTACCAGATTCTTAATTCAAAATAGAACTGGGATGTATATGTATAGCAGTAACCTGTCCATAGGCTGATGATGAAGGATTCTTCTAAGGCCTTCTACAAAAGTAGAACCTAACCATTTCAAAATTATTTGCGGCATTCATTCTTCGACCAAATTTTAGAAGTAAAAATTTCCGGCATTTCTAAATTGTGGTCTGCCTTTTTTTGTGAATTCAAATTTACCGGAAAAATAAAGACTATTATTCAGATTTAGACAATTTTGGTTTTATATAATAATGAGACATGATTTTGATCGATTCTAATTCAAAAAAAAAAAAATTTACCAACAATGGTACTTTTACAATTTTTATTTTTTATTTTATTCGTTTTATTTGATATTATCTTAAATTGTGAAATAAACTTATCCCACATGTATTTATAAAGGAATTGATGATGATTGATTCTGTAAATGATATTGTTTTTTGTTTGTTTGAATCTTTCAAATAATCTGTAAATGAATCTGTAAATGAATCTGTAAATAAAACTTAAAATGAATTTGTAAATAAATCTGTAAATGAATATGTTAAGATTGATGATGTGGATGAGGATGAAGTTGAAAACAACGATGCTCCTGGTGTTGGGTCTTCAGGCAGTGCTGCATCACGTTCTGCAACTTCTCCAGATGATGCTCTTGAAGCTGGCGAAGCTTCTGGAACTCAAGCACTTGATGCTCTTCTTGATCAACTTAGTCAAGGTAGAGATTCACACCAAAACCGCTTAAACCTTTGGCTGATATATCCTTGTTTTTTCTTGCTAAAAATAGATTTTTTTCAATCGTGGTTTCTTCCTTATAGTGACATGCGGATTTGTGCTTGAGCTGCATCAATAAAGAAAATTGAACACTTTTTTTAAGATAAAAAAACGACGATTATTCAGACAGAGATTTTAAAGGTACTGTTGTGAATCAGCTCTTGAAATACAATTCTTGAAAAGGATGGGGGGGGGGCACATGAAATCTTATCTACAGTTCTTTCAATAATAACCTTGATTGAGGATATACCTTTTTTGCCATTGAATTTTTTACTTCTGGTCCCAGATCGGCGGAATACACAAGCAAATTTGCGCAATTTTTCGCGAAAGTTTGGAAACACTAGTCTTGCTGTAAATGGTTTCAATATTTTAATGTATAGACAATGACGAAAAGGAGGATAGAAATGAAGGAGATCTAACTGAACGTCCTGAAGCTGTTCTTTTAATTGAAGAGAATAAGAACGATAATGAATGGGAGTCATTTTGCGAGGTAAATCTAAAAATAGCACAATTTTTCTTTTTAATGAATTTCGCAGATTTTTCTGTTTTCATTTGCAAATTTTCTAGATTTTGGTAAAATAATTTTTTTTCAAAAATTTCCTTTTGTTAGGTATTAACTCAGAAGCGCAGAAAAAGCTTGAATGATGAGGATTCTGATGAAGAAAATAAGGATACAGAACACGATGATTCTCCGGTTAAAGATCGGGGATTTGATGAGCAGAAGAATGATAGTTTCGAAATGGACATATTTGATGATGAGGACATCATGGAAAATGAAGTAAACTCTGCAAGGAAAGAGATTGAACCAGCTCTATTAGAAGTTACTAAAACCCCAGCAAATTCTCCAGAATCAAGGAATAGTGCATTTTTTACAGAGTAAACATTGCTTTTTTTTTTAATTTTTATTTACCATCAAAATGTTATGAATCTTAAAAATGATTAAAATGATACTTACAGAGTGTGTGTGACTTCCCCAGACATGTTTGCGGTTTCAGACGATGAAGTTGAAGATTTCCAGCAGAACCCTCAGGATAATCCAGAAGATGCATTTCAATCTTTGACCGCGGGAGCTCGGATAGAATCTCCTATTTTGCTATCCTCAAGATCTCCTTCAAAGTCACCTTTTCAACCATCACCTTCCCCTAAACCCTCTTCACCTAGACCTATTCCAAGACGAAGCCTCTCCTTCCAAGCTGAACCACGTGGCGCCCTTAACAGCTGTTCTGATGTTCCAGAAACTTCGGCACGATTGGAAGACAAGTCTTTATCTCCGGAACAGCTGGAGCCAAGCGGATCATCCTCAGATGGCTGCAGTCAGCCTGTTTTCTCCTTTCAGGCGTCAACATCACTGGAGATGTCAACTCCTGTGAACAGGAAGAGAAAACCTTCGTCTTGTAAAGGAATAGAAAGCAGAAAAAGGAGTAGATATGAGGACAACGGTAGCCATTTAATAATTCTTTACATACCCTTTAAATGCCCTCTTTTTAGTGCAATATTTTTCTAATACAAGGCCCTTATGTTTTTTAACCTTTGAGATTCGTAAATTTGTAAAATTTTATGCCGAAATCTCAGATTTGACGGTTTTTAGATTCGACAAATAAAAATCTAACGAAATGTGAGTGATTTCTGACAAATTTTTATTCCTAAAAAGCCTGTACGCAGTTTCGAAATGTTTTCAGTGAGTACGATTTTACGAACAAAATGTTTTCCAACAAAAAAAACTTTTCATTTATGTTTAATATTTTAGACGATTATCTTCCAACTCCTGGGAAGCCAAGAGAACCAGTTTTACCTAAAGGTTAGTTAATGGTAATTTTTAAGTTTTTTGAAATAGACAGTCAATGTGTCATATTTTTTGCTCTAGATGTATAATCCTGAAATAATGAGAAAAAAGGCTAGAACTATTTAGTAAATAATTAAATCCTAAATAAGAGTATATTTAGATACACATTTTTGAAACACTAGCCTGGGAACCCAGATTTGCCTGGAGTTTTTCCTTCAAATATCAACGTTATTTAACTTTTAAACCAAGCTACAAACATTCCTGCGGTTCATGAGTTATGATGATATTATCAATCATGATCTGTTCTTACTATTATATTTTCAGATGCTACTAAAGTTATAACTGATGAAGCTGAAGAGCTCTTGAATATTATCAAGCATGATCTGTTGCAAGGATGTAATGTTAAGGTAATGTAACCATCAGAAGAAATCTTATTGTTGTAATCGTCCTATCTTCATCACCGAAGGTATATTGAGCTGTTGAACCTTCTGACAAATGTAGCTGAGCACAAATATGCGCTGTCCAGTGTCCACTTAATTTTCCTATTTGTCGACAGGGCAGGGCAGAATCAACTTTTAGAGTTGCATGTCCGATTATTGAAGGTACTCACTACCCTTCAAACCTTGCACACAGATGTGGAATATATCTTGGGTTTGTATCTTAAAAGGTGTTGAAATCTGACAATTCCCTTCTCTCTCTCTCTCTCTGCTAGACACCACTTTTATAAAAACCACAATCGAAAATTATCAGTTTTTACGAGATAAAAACAAGAATGCCTTCGTCAATTTAGTTTAAGTTTTAAGGGTACCGTTGTGAAATTTACAGGAAATAACAGTCCCTTTAATCTTGTTTTTTTTTCAGGATTGTTTGGAATCTTTGCTTGAGCAAAGTGTAACTGTTCCTCTTCTCCTCAAAACAGGTTTTTTTTAGATTTTTTTTACAAAATTTGAAAATAAAGCAATGAATTTATGTTAAAAGTTTAGGCGGGACTTTATGTTTTTTAAACGGGATTTTTACTTTTTTGTTTGTTTAAGGTTTAAATTCAATTGAACACTACCCTAACCGAAAACAAACTAATAAGTTTAAAGCTCGGATCGAAATCATTCTCATTCATATTTTTTAGGAATCGGAAAAGTTGTTCGAAAATTTAAAACACACGACGGAGAGGTATAATAATAACAAAATCATGATAATAACTAAATCATGATAATAACTAAATAATTTTGTTTTGGTTTTAAACATATAAATGTAAAATGTGAACAATATCAATTAAAAATGTCCAAGCTTAAACTCTAAGGTTCAGTAAAGGAAATAAGATTAAAAGCAACCCATGGATTTGATTTCATTTAATTAAATCTAAATGTTACAATTGCAATTTTAAAAAATGAAGCCTTATCCTTTTGTAATATTTCGTAAAGGATTTTCCCAAGGGTATGTGCAATTTCCTAAGCGGCAAATTCTCGAGTGTGTCTTACCCGCAGCGCTCGGCCCTAAGCCTGTTCTAGCCGTGACGCACGGCCCCCTTGCCCATCTTAGCCACAACGCTCGGTCCCCGATGCAGCCTGCGGCGCCTCAGAGGGCCTAACATAACCTTTGGGAAGTTGCCGCTTGGGAAATTGCATACTTGGGAAGTCGCCTTTAAGGAAAATGCTTTAGGGAAAGTACCTAACACCTTTTTAAAGTAAAACGAAATATTTACGAATTTTGGAGATAACTCGCATAGTTTTTGTTCGCAATTTTTAACAAAATATTTTCGGTCAGTTAGATAAAATGGACAAAAAGTGCTTGGTTCCTGGAGCATGGTTTTAATTTTACAAACTTAACACTTTGTTTTAAATAAAAATTCATGTAAAGGCATTCGCCAGTTTAAAGGGACTGTAAGCGTAATTTTAAGTGACCCTCCATGTAAAGATGGCAAAACAGTGGTTCTTGGAACCTGTATGTGATAAATACTGTGGAAGATATTGTTGATTCATGCAACGGTAAAACCTTTATCTGATCACCATAAATGTGCAGAATTATATCGTCGTTTCTGAAGACTAAATTGTCTAATTCTGACAATATCCTCCATTGTATTATAAGCACAAATCCGCAAGGTCACTTTACAATGATATAAATGATAAAAAAATGGAAGCTGTTGCACAAGGAGCTTAGACATAGCTTAGACTCTTGGCAGTTTTGAATAAGAAACCAAAAAAAATTATAAACATTTCCAATTAAACTCTGTTGCCTTGAATCGCCTCAGTGGGCGGAAGATCTATCATATATATCAATTTATAGAGTACCCACGGTTGGAATCATGCTTTATCAAACAACGCTTTAAGTGGTGCTGTTGTGAATAGTTTAAATTGAGGTTAACTTGAAACTACGTCTACAGTCCCTTTATATAATATTATAGGTTGGGACCTTGTCCCGTCGTGTTGTCAAGAAATGGTTACATCTAGTGGATCAGTGTGATACAGATCTAGGAATTCTTAATCGAAAATATTTAATGTTTAAAAGTTTAAATTCTCCGTTTTCTTGAAAATTAAAGCAGTGCTTAGGATACGGATCCAGGGAGCAAAATACCAACCAAACCAAATTAATTTTTTCCTTCAAACACAAATTGCAACTGTAAACTAATGAGCGGTCATTAAAAAAAATGAATAATCTCTGGATCTGGTTTTGGATTCGGATCTGCGTCAAAATGAAATTGATCCTAAGCATATTGAAAAGTAGTCCTTTGATTGTATTTCTGTCTGATTCTGTCTAATTATATATGAACCCCTTTGTTTGTATTTCTGTCTGATTCTGTCTAATTATATATGAACCCCTTTGTTTGTATTTCTGTCTGATTCTGTCTAATTATATATGAACCCCTTTGTTTGTATTTCTGTCTGATTCTGTCTAATTATATATGAACCCCTTTGTTTGTATTTCTGTCTGATTCTGTCTAATTATAAATGAACCCCTTTGTTTGTATTTCTGTCTGATTCTGTCTAATTATAAATGAACCCCTTTGACTAACATTTTTCTGAAGGGAACCTCTGTAATCCGTGAGTATTATTATTTTTAGCTTGGTTTAACAATTTGTAGTTGAGTGGGTTGATTTTATAGAGGAAATTTCCGACAAAGCTGGGTTCTGAAGCTAGTAGGTTGATAGTGTGAACAGGATTGTTTAATTGATATTTTCACTATGAGACGGAAGAAAACTAAAAATGAGAATGCGGGAATTTTCTAAAACTAAAAATAACAATTCACATCTGGTTCTATCATTTTGCAGAATCAACTGAATCTAATATCTGAATTATCCCTTTCATTTATATTTTTATTTTATTTTGCAGAATCAGCTGAATCTAATATCTGAATTTTCCCTTTAATTTACATTTTTTTATTTATTTTGCAGAATCAGCTGAATCTAATATCTGAATTTTCCCTTTAATTTACATTTTTTTATTTATTTTGCAGAATCAGCTGAATCTAATATCTGAATTTTCCCTTTAATTTACATTTTTTTATTTTATTTTGCAGAATCAGCTGAATCTAATATCTGAATTATCCCTTTAATTAACATTTTTTTATTTATTTTGATTAAGAATACTGAAGGGGTTCAACTACTAAGCCAGCAAAGTGCACAACAAACCCAAGAAGAAGATCAAGCCTCAAGAATACATCAGAAACAGTCACAATCAGACACTCCAGACTTTAGTCCGAGTTCTGACATGCCAGATTTCAATCCAAGTCCTGAAATACCAGATTTCAATCCAAGTCCTGAAATACCAGATTTCAATCCCAGTCCTGAAATACCAGATTTCAATCCCAGTCCTGATAAACCAGAATTCAATCCAAGTCCTGAAATACCAGAATTCAATCCCAGTCCTGAAATACCAGATTTCAATCTAAGTCCTGAAATACCAGAATTCAATCCCAGTCCTGATATACCAGAATTCAATCTCAGTCCTGATAAACCAAACTTTCCCAGTCCCAACTTACCATATGTTAATCCTGGTTCCGAATATCCTCCCTCCAATTATAATCCTGATCATGCATCTGATGACCTTGAGTCCCCAGAACTGAGGTCAGCAAACGACCGCATGGATAATGGCCGACCTTTGAAGACTCCAGTTAACAAAAGGAAAATAAAGATTTTCAATCATTTGTAAACTGCCTTCCTATATTTCTGCAAAAAAAAATAACATTTCTTCATTGTTGACTTATTTGTGGCCTTCTGACAAAAATATTACATTTATAACCTGTAGTTTCACTTATTCTTTGAAGTTGAGATGTATGTATTATGTATTTCTGTACTGTTGGATTCATAAAAATGTGGAATAGGAAGACGACATTTTATCAATCTTGTGTGTAATTGTAAAGCAAGTAGTGTAAGCAGTAGCTTTAAGATCTTTTTATGAAATTAAAGGGGTCAATGTACAGTGTACAGTGTATAGTGTACAATGTACAGTGTACAGTGTATAGTGTACAATGTACACTGTACAATTACTGTGTTTCATGTCCGTTGCAATCTTTAATATAATAATTTGAGCTTTGAAGTAGTCTTCCTATTCCAAAATTTAATAGGTTCCACTGTATGTTTGTATGAAACCGTTTTGTGCGTCCTAGATGTCTGCTTTCAATTCGTGTTTTCAATGTGCATTGTGCGTCCTCATTGCGCGTACTTGTTGAGTGTCCTCATTGAGCGTGTTTAATGTACCTGTTCAATTTTGGTCCTCAATGTACGTTCTCAATGAGCGTCCACGTACCCATTGTACGTTCTCAATATAAGTTTCTTTCCCATGGCTTGAGATTGAGAAGTCGTAACTTCTGCTATGTTTTCGTTTTTGTGTTCTAAATATGTTGTCACATTTAAGAATTCAGTGCTGCGTTAGATTATTAATCTTTATTTTGAAGATTATTGCTGCAGGATACTCCTAAGTGTACTCCGAAACCGAATTATGAGGTAAAACATGTACAGTGTAGAGTGTATAGTGTACAGTGTACAGTGTATGCTTCGAGCTTCAATGAGTACAGGGTGACCCACTCTAACGATGAAACTGTAGAGACAACTGGGCATATTTTGTTAGGCATAATATAGTAAATTCATGGATCAGTTAGCACTGAAAACAGAGGCGGGTAAAACTGGGGTCTTTCTCTCCTTTCATCAAAGAATTTTTCCCTTTCTCCATTTACATGTCTTTCTCCACCACCATGTTTGAAAGTTTTCTTTTTACTCGCTGACTTCTGTTAATCATTTTTTTACATTTTTTCTAGTCTATGCTGACTCCTGAACTGCGAGCGGAACTTCAACGGTTCGGATTAAAGGTGATATTAGTATAACTGTTATGTGATTAAAGGTGATATTAGTATAACTGCAGTTATGTGATTAAAGGTGATATTAGTATAACTGTTATGTGATTAAAGGTGATATTAGTATAACTGTTATGTGATTAAAGGTGATATTAGTATAACTGTTATGTGATTAAAGGTGATATTAGTATAACTTTTGAATCCAGAAATCTATTCGTCTGATGGTGATGGACCAAACCTCTGTAGAGTAAAAAAGAAGATGTTATTTGTAAATAAATTAATATTTAATATCTTATGAAAACCAGGTCAAAGGGCCTTTCGACGAATTGTAAACACATTTATTAAAAAATACTTTTGAATCATACTTTTACTGTACAGTGTACATTACAGTGTACACATTTTGGCTTGTGGAACTGCACTGTGTAGTCTACAAGGTGTAATTTCAAGTGGTTTTTAGTTTATTTATTATGTCCGATGTATTATGGTTCTCTTGCAAGATCTTTCTCCAATCAAGTATTAATTATATATCAATATTTTTTTTAAAGGTGATTATTTTTATTTCTGGTATCTCTCCAAGGTCATTTGCGCATTTTTGGCTTTAGCAGCAGCACCGTAGAAATTAACAGAAGCACTTCTCAAGTGAGAAAACTGACGACTTCGATATTTTTGTTAAGATAAAGGTTCAAGAGTACCGTTGTTAATCTGACATGACAGAATTATCAATATTTAAGGTTGTACCTCGAAGAAAAGCTGTTCAGTTTCTAGGACATATTTACAATGAAACTCATCCAATTGTAAATTACAGGTAGATTGATATTTATAATAATTTGTCTTAAAATCTTTTTTAAAAGTTGATAATATTGACAAAATTTTCAATTGGGAAAATTTTTTAAAACTAATTTTTCTGAATTTTTTTTCTAATATTGTTTAAAATTACATTTTTGCAATTTTTGTTTTTAATTGGACATACGGTACAGACACTGTACAGTACAGCGTACAGTGTTTTTTGTGCAGTGAATTATGTACACTTTGTACGTAGTGTCCAATTTACTATTTTATATATGCCATGTACAGCATGCAGTGTACAGCATGCAGTGTGCAGTGTGCATATTTTGAATTTGTTTAGTGGAGGCAGTGTAAAGAAAGGATCACCAATTATCAATAAGAATCTTCAACGAAATCAGAAAATACCCCGAAAGAACAAATCTCCGAAAAAGAGTAAGAAATCCACCAAAACTGCAGCAGAACCTAAAACTTCCAAACATGTTGTGAAAACATCTAAAAAAGAACAGAAAGAAAAAATAAAGGAAGGATCTGACGTTGAAGGTAATTCTCATTTCTCTTTGACATAATTTCGATCATTGATACCAGTTCATTCGATAGCTAACAATATCTAATACGCATAAAATTGCTAAAATGTCGTCTTCATTTTCCACACAATGTACAGAACTTAGGAGTAATTGAAAGAACAAATAAAATGTCGTCTTGACAATGTGTTTTATATTATTATACCTAAAACTTAGAAATTGTAAAAATATATAAATAGCCATGAAATATGCGGGAACAGTTTTAAAGAGCTCCATATAATACAGTGAAACCCTTAATAAAGAAGACATCGGAAGAATTTATCAAATGTCGTCTTGACAATTTTTCAATGAGTTTTATTCTATATCACGTAAATTTCAGTATTTGCGAAAATAAATAAATAGCCATGAATATGCGGGAATAGTTTTAAAGAGTTCCATATAATCATTTAATTAAAAAACCAAATATCTGCAATATTCCATTATCAGAAAATGAAGAATACGACATTTGATGAATTCTTTCGATGTATTAGTTATTAAGGGTTTCACTGTAGTTTATTTGAATAATAAATATCTTCATCATTCCATTAGAAAACGACATTTTATAAATTATATAAATGTCTCCTAAGTTCTAGGTTAAACTGTATATTAAACTTTTTGCGGTTTCTCCAACAATGCGTGAAACGTCGTCTTTGTATTCCAGGTTTAGGAAGACGACTTTGAACGTCAATTTATGGTTTTAAATTGTCCTAAGAATAGCCGACACATCAATAATTTGGGTAGTGTGCACAAACAAACCATTTAGCTAAATTAGTGATTTTTGAGTTACTATGGTAATTACTTTTTGCGATGTTTCAACATCAAAATGTCTTCAACGTATTCCACACAAAATTATGGTTCTCTAGATGGGAGTGTATCAGAGGGTGAGGATGAGGTCACCTATCTAGGACTAGAGGAGGAAGAAGAAGAGGACTTTATGTCACAGGTTCTAATCATTATCTATCTATCTATCTTCTATGCCTTCCTAATAGCACGAATGCTACCAAGTACCCACCCCTCCTTGCATTCCGGAGTACGTAAATAACAGAGTTAGCATGACATATGATGCTAACTCTGTTATCTCGAGTGGAAGTAGCCGAATCCGTGAAGCCAAAACTACCGTGACCTGTATCTATCTATCTTATCATCTGTCTTTCTATTATGTATTTATTCATTTATTCATCTAAATCTATACATAAATATATTAATATCTATCTTTCTATCTGTTTATCGGTATATTTATATATAGATGTTTTTTTTCTACACATCTACTTAACTTTCTATCTACAGGGTGTCCATTGAAACTCTTAGTATCTCCGGTAATATTAACAGCCCAAAAAAGGCAGACCACATTTTGGAAATACCACGACTCGGATAATTTTGTGGTTATCGTTTCAAGTATCATACATGAGAAAGTAGGTTGAAAACTGAATGTGTCAAAAAGATTTAACTATCTAAGACGACTTTCAAATCGTCTTGCTTCTGTCATGTTTCGTGGGACACCCTGCATCTCTAATAGTTTATTAATGTAGATTCCGAATGATTTGACTCTACATGATCAGTTAAAAACTTTTATAAGAAGGTAAAAAAGGACAGGACAGAATTTAACAATACAGAACACAACCAGACAAGATTGGGCAGGATAAGACAAAAAAAAACTAGACAGGCCAGGAAAGAAGTCATGACGGGTCAGGACATAACAGGGCAGAACTTGACAGGAAACTACAAGATAGAACCAGACAGTACAAGAACAAATAGAACTAGACAGGACATGACTGGAATAGACTTGACATTACAGAACATTACAATATAGTACAGTTCAGTGTTCACTATATATATCACAAGCTAATTTTTAAGCTTGATTTTGATCAATATAAGATGTTATAAGGAACTTTCACATTTGTTTACGAAAAGAAAGTGTACTGCTGTTTATATTTATCCCAGGAAAGTTTTCTGTTTTGCAAATAAAGATATTGGAATTCTGGGGATTAATTTTGATTACGATCTACGGTGTTACCTATAAAATTAATTGTGGAATAGAAATAATGTATTTTAGATAGTCTAATAAACATTAAACACAGCATTGTACTATCGTGTGTACTATCTGTGTACTATCGTGTGTACTATCGTGTGTACTATCGTGTGTACTATCGTGTGTACTATCGTGTGTACTATCGTGTGTACTATCGTGTGTACTATCGTGATCGTGTGTACTATCGTGTGTACTATCGTGTGTACTATCGTGTGTACTATCGTGTGTACTATCGTGTGTACTATCGTGTGTACTATCGTGTGTACTATTGTGTGTACTACCGTGTGTACTGTACACAGATCCATTTCAATTCCTAAGTTTATTTTTAAGCTACTTGTTTAATTAAACTATTTGCTTTATAACAACGTTAAAAAAAAGATTGCTTAAATGTCGTGTTTCTATTCCACGGTTTTATTGGTCGCCCTGTATTAACTTTTATATTTTTTTTAATAATTTCATTTAATACTATTATGTTTACAATTTGTTTTTAATAAGCATATATTTTTACAATCTTAACTGGTACAAAAATTGTTAATTGAGGCAGTATACATACATTGTATGTTCTCCTCATGTTTACATTTCACTGACAGGACATTTCACGGACAGGACATTTCACAGGTAGGACATTTCACAGACAGGACATTTCACGGACAGGACATTTCACGGACAGGACATTTCACGGACAGGACATTTCATGGACAGGACATTTCAGAGACAGGACATATTATCATTTAATAGGTGGGACATTTCATAGAAAGAACATGTAATGGATAAAGACATTTTATAGTGGTACAAACCAATAAATTGTACTTTTAGGACCCCCGACTTGTACCAGACAATACTCTGTTATGAACCAATTTGGTTAACTGAGTTCATTGCTCAAATTAAACAGGTCAGTTCTAGTCTACAGTGGGACCCATATAGCTGTGGAATATCAAGGCTGGTCGAATTAATTTATGATTCAATGTTTTTACAATGAACATGAAACACAGCAACTGTGAAGTACAAATTTTATTGCATTTTATATTTCTACTAGTTGTAAAACTATTTGCTGTATAAATTGTCAAATTTTAAAAACTCAAGACCCCCATCAAAAAATACATACGGTGGTAGGCGATTATATCAATAAAATGAAGACGACTTTTCTATTTAAGTTTCAATTGTGAACACACTTTTTTCGAATTACAAGTTTACAAGTAATAAAAGAGAAGTTTTTGATTGACACATTCTCTTTGTTTTCATGTATTTGTTTATCCATACTGTTTTAAAGTTTGATATAAGTCGTTTTCATTATACTAATGTAATCGCCTACAATTGTAGTTATTGTCATAATTTTAAGAAGATTAGAGTTAAAAACAGTTTTTTTTATTAATTTGACTTAAGCTCATTTTTTTCAGGCTGGAATAAAGTGCACAAAACTTCAGATTTTAGACTTTTTAGACAAGGAAACCTTTTTAGAACTTTTAGAATACTTGAGAACAAAAAAATAAACTTTAATTTATGATTTTTTCAGTTTTGAATTAAATCGATAAAAAGGTATTTTTAAGGAGTGCATCAATTTTAGGTTTGATCGTACAAATCGGAGAAGAGAGAATACGACGAAAAAATCGCCGAAAAAGTCTCAAAAAAACCGAGGACGACCAAAACAATTGACAAATTTTAGTTGAAATTCTACCACTGTGATAAATTTTATGTATTTGTAAAAACTAGTTCTTAACAAAACAGATTTCCAGTAATAATAAAACATACTAGCTGAAGTCGAAGTTTAAAAAGGGAAAATAATTTGTTTAGCCTTTGTTACCCCCCGCGGGGGTAACATAGGGCGGGGGGTAACATAGGGCACTGTGTGACAAAGTGGACATTGGTCTGACAAAAAGGGGCCTTTGTTTGCAGTTTGGAGCGAAATTATTATGAAGAATCATTTAAACAGAAAAGTGTTATTTTTATAAAACTTAACATTTCTATTTTATATATTTTCCAAATTTTTTTTCCTTTTTTTATGTTTTTTTATGTTTGAAGTTTGAACACCTGCGAAGAGATTCAGAGAGGAACTGATGTATAATATATCTTATAGTGTAAATCCACCAAAATTATTTCAACCATGTCTCAGCCTCCACTTTTTTACACCTTTTCAGTTATTGCCATTTTAATAGAATTTATTTAATGATTTATGACTAACAAAGACGACCTATTTTCTTGAATGTCGTCATACTTCTTGAACAAAAAAATTCTTCTGAAGTACCGATTTATTGATTTCTATCAATTTTTTTGAAAAAGATTTTCTAACAATAAGAAATAACTTATTTTTTACACATTTTTAAATTTAACTATTTATTTTTTATCAGAATATGTCCAAACCCCCTTTTGGTCTAACGTTTGGCCGGCTATATAGCTGACATATAAATATATTTATGTATATTTATGTATATATTTGTACAAGATTTAAGAGCTTTATTATATATTCTAGAATCTATAGATATCTGCACAGTATCACACTTCACTCATCAGAAAGAGAGGGTCAAATCGATGAGACTTTGTGAGCTAATTTGATTGACGCACGAGGGAGGGAACCCCGGACACCATGAGCCTCCGCTTTGCAGACACGAGCCACCGCTTTGTACAATTGGTCATAAGCAATACATCGAAATGTGCCTGTGTAATACAGGAGGTTTTTTTAAACTTGTGCTTTAAAGATGAAAGATTTTTTTCAACTTTTTCGACATAGTGGCATGAGAGGTTTTTCAAAGATGAGAAGTATTTATCAATTATCATAAAAAGTGCCTAACTATGACTAATAAATTGAAATATAAAATTTTAAACATTTTTTACATGAATAAGAAAATATTTAAAAAAAAATTTTAATTGAATTTTATTTCATCTTTTGTAATCTTTGATTTAAGTGCAACTTTTTTTGTAGTTCAAATTAAATCTAGAAAATTTGTATCATCTATTTAAATCTTAACATATTTCAAAAAAAGGTATTATTAAAATCAAAGATTTCAAGTAAACGAACTAAACTTACTCCAGAAACATTACTCCAAATAGTTACCTTTCTGCGTAAGAAATGTTTAAAGTTTTAGTATAAATCTTATTAACCACTTTATGAATTCATTAAGTTTCTGATCATGACAATCAATAAATAACTCTAATAACTCGTAAAATTCTTCCGCCACTATGTCAAAAAAATTGTTAAAATTTTTCATTACACATAAAAACTAAGATTTAACAAAAGCAGTGCTGTATGGTGGCGGCTTGTTTGCTGCATAGTGGAGGCTTGGTTTGTCTAGCAAATCTGGGAGGCTCGTGTCTGCATAGTGGAGGCTCGGTCAGTCTAGAAAATCCGGGAGGCTCGTGTCTGCATAGCGGAGGCTCATGGGGTCCGGGAGTTCCCTCCCTCGACGCACAAGTATGATTGAAGCAAAGTTTGCTTATTTTAAATTCAAAACGTTGTTTTTTCTCAAATCTTAACATGGCTATATATATATTATTGAAAACAAATAGGATGTCCCTCGAAACATTTTTATCCTACTGGTCAAACAATTTGGTTAATGACATTAAAAAGATTATATAGGAGTAATTTTAAGTGACCCTTGATGCAAAGATTGCAACGTACAATTCTATAAGGGACCCTTAATTGCTTTATTTGATCGAGTATGAATTAGATGGTAATTTTTTAAATTTTGAAAACTTTTCAATTGTGGCTTCTCTGTAAAAGTCATGAATTGTGTAATGCGCATTTCTACTGCAGGAAAACATATTTCACATTAACAATATAAAGCCCGATAGGTTTCGAGGGTATCCTTGTTAATCGGTCATTGCAATCTTTGTCGCTTAAAATTGCACTTACAGTCCCTCAAATGACATCAAATAGTCAGAAAGTTCAGGAAACTGGGATTGAAATATCCGGGAAATATTGTTCAAATCAGTTTCGCGGATTTACCCGCGTAGAGTCTTAGCCTGGATTAGGACTATAGAGGCCGGGAAAGGTTAATAGTCGAGGACCATCCTTAGTTAGACGTGAACTACAAATAGTGAAACTGCTTGCACAGTGGTCCAAAACAAGAAATATGGGTAAAACAGCACAGTGGTTCAATACTAGGAATAATAGTAAGACAGCACAGTGGTCCAATGCTAGGAATATAAGTAGAACAGCACAGTGGTTCAATACTAGGATTATTAGTAAAACAGCACAGTGGTCCAATACTTGGAATATTAGTAAAACAGCACAGTGGTTCAATACAACGAATATTAGTATAACTGCACAGTATAATACTTGGAATATTAGTATAAAAGCACAGTGGTTCAATACTATGAATATTAGTATAACAGCACAGTGGTCCAATACTAGGAACATTAATAAAACAGCACAGAGGTTCACTACTATGAATATGATTATAATAAGACAGTGGTCCAATACAATAGTAGGAATATGATTTCAAGAGCACAGTGTATCATTAGATTTGCGTACAACGCATTTACACATTACAAACCATATTTTGGTAATCCCAAGAGCAGTTTTCGGTTTTAATTGTTTTAATTGGGAATTGAGATACACTTCTATTTACAAATATTCTTTGCTTGTGTGTCTGTTTGTTTGATTGTAGCCGATAAACGTACATTAAAGCGATCGGGCCAAACATTTTTGTGGGACCTCATTGGGGAAGGTTTAAGGATGCTAAGAATTACAACAAATTGTCTCCAAAAATTTTTGATTTTCGTAAAAAATTTTTAATCCGCAACATTTTTATTTTCTGTCAGTGTTTTATCGAAGAGAAAATACTGAAAGATTGAGAAACAATTAAAATTTGTATATAGAAGATGGGCGCCGAAGCGCCTTGATTGCCTTTTGTGCTTGTCGGTTTGTTTGTTTGTGACCGACGGTTAAATCTGCTGAACCGATCGGGCCCAAATTTGGGACTTCACATAATCCTACAGAAGGTTTATGGATGTTAAGAATTGAAAAAATTTTCCTTTAAAAAATTCTATTTTTCAAAATTCACAAAAAAAATCGATAAAAGATCAACAAGCATATGTTAAAATCGCAGTTAAAATAGTTAGGACACGTTCACAAAATGATGACCAGAGACGATATATGTAGAAATCGTCACTTACTTTCCATGTTTATTGGGATACCCTGTATGAAAAAATTATAATATTGATGGCTCAAGCAAAAGGAGTAGATTAACTAAGTTCGTGACACTCGGCACTCTTAATTTCTATTTTTAATCTGATCTTTAATAATTCTCATTCTTTTCATTTCCTTTCGACATTTTAAAATTGTAGAAAGTTTGCATTTATTTAACGCAAAATTTACAAAATTGCATCAGAAAACATAAACATAATTTCACAAACAGAATAGCCATAATTCCATATGCAATACCAAAATACTACACGAGTTTAACGTGTTGCTAAAACTTTAAATACATATCTTGCTTGAAGAGCTTTATTATATGATCGTTCCATATAAAAATGTTTATTTACATTTCTAAAGCTATTAGAATAGTAATCAAAGTCGTCTATTCGTATTTTTCAGTTATGATTGTATATTTACGTAAGATTAAACAAGCTAGCTGATAATTTGTTCAATCTGAAATCAATAAACCCTGCCTCTGGTTTTACGTTCAGGGGCGGTCAAAGGCGGACACAGGGGGGTGGCGGGGGGACATTCGCCACCCCCTGAGATTTCGAGGCAAAAAATGTTCCCAATTTGATAAATCGTATGTGTTTTTCAATTTTAAGCTATTTGATAATTTTTATTTAATGGAAATATAATAATTAATATTTATTGAAAAATTGAATCATCAGAAGAGAAGGACGAAAAAAATATTTTTCTAGCTTGTTAAAAATAAATATAAGTTTTTAACCAATGATGTAAGTATACGACGACAGACATTGTGTTTACTGTTTTGTTTTATTGGTACGCGGCACACTGCACATTTTGAGTCTTTTCTTCAGTTTAATTTAAAAATCAACGACAACAAGTAAATGTTATTGTTAACGATAAATTTAGAATTAGAAATTCGTAAGAAACTAGTAATTTCTTTTTGTTCTTAAATTGCTAATGTTCCTATTATTGTTCCTGTTCCTAATACTGTGTCCGACCCACCTAAAATCCCTGTCCTAATCCTATATTTTTGTTCCTTATTCCTGAACAATCTTTTTATTGTTCCTAAATCCCTGTCCTAATCCTTTAATTTTGTTCCTAATTATCAATTTTTTTGTTCCTAAAAAATCTTGCCACCCCCTAACTTAAATCCTGTGTCCGCCCCTGGGGGCGGTTAATGATATTTTCCAAGGGGGGGGGGATAGCGCGCCAAAAGTGGAAAATGTTTCGGCAAGATTTGGATTTAAAAAATCACATAAATTTTGAAAATTCTTTTTAATCTTTGTTTAAAAATCAAAATTAAAGGGTTGAAGGTGCCTGCTCTCTCTCTTGCGCTCCTAATTTTTCCAGGGGGGGACATCCTTAACCCCCCCCCCCTAAGCTGCCTCTGTTCATGTTATTTATCTTTAGAGGGAAAATTTATTTTTTCTCAAACTGAGATGTTGGTGAAGGTAAATTTAATTTCAAATTTTCCTTTTCCTTTGAATTAATGAAAACTCTGGGAATATACTTGAATAAAATTTCACAGTTTAAGTTTAATTAGACCTATTGTTATATATATAAATTAAAGGGACTGTGACCATATTAGTTCAATTGCATACCTATTGTTATATATATAAATTAAAGGGACTGTGACCGTAATTTCAAGTGATT